TCGTTTTCTCTTCACTACTGATATACTGTTTACTCAGCCACGTTTACCTTATAGCCACAATATGATGTATAAGTTGAGAGGAAACACTTACTGAATCTAACGATTTTAATCATTTCACCCTTCTACCCACTCTTGCATTTCTTCGCATCACTTGTTACCGTCATGTAAGACAGTGACCTGAAGCTAAACGATATCTGTTTTGAATTCTTAATCATCAATTCCAATGTTCCTCATCTAGTTACCTGCTTACTCAATTTAAGATTTAACAAAATCTCCAGAGCTAGTTGAAAATGCCAGCCACCTCCGCCTCGTAACGTCAATTAAATCTCCCATGTTTGATACCTCGACATCTAAGTACATTTTCTGTATTGTATATGAATAATTTCATCCTATTTCACTACGTGATGTAGAAAGACAAAATGTATAGAATAAGTTTAGCCTAAATTTGACGGACTACTAATTTGATCTGCATCCTATACTTAGTGAGAATAAATGTTTGTTCCGCCCAGAGCTTCTGTCACTACGCCGGAAATAATAATGTACTTGTTGCACGTTTAAACGTTTTTCTTTTACCACGACGCAATTTGGCCCGGAAAAAAGAGACAGAACGTAGCATAGAACGTGAGGAAAGGAATTATTGGTTTAGGCCAAGATGGAAATGCTCAGCATGGGTAGGTCTGCACGGTCCCCTAATTTCTTGGATTATTTTTCTCCTAGATTTAATTATAACTACCATGTGGTAGTCGTGTATATCCCATTCCACCATATCTAGTTGATGCTGCGTCAGCTTGCAATAGGTGTCAGTGCTAAACTCTCTCTTTCTAGGAGATTACTAGCTAAGTATTTGTAAACTTTTGTGTTATTACTAGTATAACTTATCTTGTGATTGGATATGAAATGATGCAAATATTCAACTCCTGTCATTTGTATGTATTTGCGATCCATAACGTCTATTGAATGAAATAACACATGCTTATACACTGCTGTTTGCGAACGCTGGTCCAAATACGTATGCAAGGAATTTTCACGGTTGTAAGCGTAGTTGCAGTTAAGCGCGCAATTAACACAAGTCTACGGTTTATTCGTAGACCCTCATTACCAAGCTGCATTCGCTGCTGCTTCAACGTTATTTCTAAATATTTGTGGATTAGAATTTCGCATCCAGGTTAAGTGCCCTTGGCACTGGACCTCTTCATTATGAAGAAAGTTGCCTCAGTGATTGTATTGAAATGCGTAGGCTACTCTGAATTAGACACACTGGCTTGCTTTACGTCTACGTGACTTTTCCATCCCAGCGTCTTCGATACTGGGTGTATCGCTCTGTGCGCAAATTCCTTTTAGACCTGCATAACTGGTGACAAACTTAATCCATGCAAATCGTTCGGATGTTATAGATTGAAGAACCGGTATTTTTTCGGGCTACGTCCGAGGTGATTTTACACAGGTGACGACGTAAAGTCCGTAAATGTTGCCACTGAAATATACCGCCAAGCACAATTAACAGAAGAATATTTCCGATGCGCCTAATTTTGCATATATAGTTCACCATCGACAATTCATTGGTAGTTGGTGCGTGCTAGTTCATTCGCGCGTGGTTCATTAGGTTTCCAAAATGAACCAGATGTTTCACCTAGTTACGTATTGATGTAATTATATATATATATATATTGAATGATATATTCACGAACACATTTATATATATTGTTATTTGTATATATGTAAATATATGCATGAACTTGCATTTCTTCTCTGCGTACCGGAAGCATAGTGCTGGTATTATTCAGCACATACACTGGAGTATATTCACTGCTACCCGCTGATGTTACTTAAAATGTTCTCTTCATCATGAGTACAAAAGAAATCCAAATACTTGTTTTCCTTCTCTGCAATGCTTGTCGATCTACAGCACCATGCCGATTTAACCACCATTTCGTGTTAATATTCTGCGTCGACGCCTTGCCCCTAATACTTCAAATTCATAATCAAACCACTTCTAAAATCTAATCTTTCCCACACAGTTTGCTTTAGTCTATAACATATGATTGTACAACAGTTTGAGTTGGTAGATCATACATCAGATAAGGCATTTAAAATGACCAATAAACACCCGAGCTTTCTGCAAGCGGAAAAGCTTACCCGCATTTCGGAAATTATACAGCACCCAATGCTATCCATTTCAACATTAGCAATATCCCTGATAACGTTCCTGCTATCAACACACGTACAATACCTCATCCCCGGAACTTCATTATATAAATTGTGAAAATCTTGGCTTCGCCGCGCTTCTAGTCACCGAGAGACAGAATTATAAAGAATAATCTACTGTGTAAGAAAAATGTTCAATGTTGTGTGAAACCAGAACACCTGTCTTTTGACTTAATGGCATAAATGTGTGTTGAAGTTCAACTCCATAAATTTTAAGCATTAATTACAAGGCGCTAAGTTAACACGGTTTCGGGAGTGTTTAGGAGGAAACAGTGCAGTTACACCGCCAAGAGGACAATAAATATCCTCTTTCAGTCCCCCTGTGTTTGCAGGTTTGATGTTATGAAGAAAGGAGTTCATCCAAATGTCAACCATAACATGGCGGACAGCAGATATGAGCATGCGTTAGGAGTCATGGAACACGGCTTCCATATATGTGCACATTTTGTGGAGTAAGATTCACAAAGTTTATGCCCTGATCAGCTCTGTGCACATGAGATGCTAAACCTGTTAGGATGGGAGCCAGATTGGCAACCGTCACTCAATTTGTAAAGCCGCAGAAAGACTTTGAATGGTTATGTAACGAAGAGCTGCATTGTTTGGAAAGTGCTTATGAATCGTCCTCTCGATGGATAATCTGTCTGTTAATTCCCCTGCTCCAAATTGCCTCTCATCGTGTATGTGAGGACCGCGCTTACATCAAACTATGACCTCAAATACCTGGATAGCACGATCGACCACTTTCCTCTTTCATGCACTTGTTTTGGTATTTATTCCTTCACCTGAATTCGTAAAAGTTTGTCCAGTAATCCCCATCTGAGTTTAACCTGCTTTTCCTCACTAAATATATTTGACCTTATTTCTACTTTTTCAATGGCAACAGATGCGCCATGCTTCAGACACAAATCTGCCATTATTTGCAATGGGATTGGACTATCACATGTTAGTCAGCAAGTTTGCCAATACTTTCGCATGTCTATAGTGGGTTCATCTGCCTTCCAGCAATTGAAGTTGAACCCTTACTCTCGAAATCAATAATGAGCGCACGTTTGGGTGCTCACTGGTATCGTTTTGCTTTCCTTAGTTAAACGTGCTAAAGATATTCAAGGTGAAGAGTACGTTTGGTTTAACTGACATGTCGACTCAAGCCCTCAGCTATGGAGTGCAAACCAAGGCGCACAAATTTGTCATTTATCAGAAATCACCATTGACGAAATAGGGGACAATCAGTGCTCGGCATTTATTTGTAGCGAAATTCCTGAATCCCACCTGGGTTTCGACCAACACATCGGTGGTCGGTAGTAAACCTATGTATTCACAATTATGCTTGAATTGGCTTTGCTTTAGTCACTGGGATCTCCTGTGCACAATATTTCCCCTGCCAAAATTATCCTCACAGCAAAGCGCGCGTCGATCTTAAATTTCATTGCTTGGTAGAGTTCAGAACGGCAGTTCCACGTTAGCCCGTCGCTTCCAGATAAGCACAAGAAGCAAGTGTGCATTAGCGACCCAACAGTCCGCAAGTGAACAGAGGAATCGCAGAGGAACAGTGCTGTTCAGGAATTAAAAGCAGATGTGGGTCCAAAAGCCGCTTGATACTTTCCTCAATCTGTGCGCTGATTACGGTTTCTGGAAGGCGGTGACACCCGAATAGGAAAGTCGACGGCGAAGCGGTCTCGGAACATCCACGCTTTAAAAAATTCACAATTGTGATCTCGTGTTGGGACTTCAAAGTTGAGTTAGTAAAACTGCCGCAGTTTATTTCCTAGTTCCCCGCTTATTATGCATCTGGTGAAGAGGATGTCTTCAAGGCAGCAAAGGTAGTCCAGTGAGAAGAGGTGCATCGCTTGGAATCGAAGAGGTTAGGGGCAAACCCGAAGTCCCAAGAATAATACGAAACTCCTCCCCGGACCCCTTCTATCAGGAAGCATTTACATTGATAGCAGAAAGCAATACTAAAAGTGGTAAGTGCCTACGGGAGAGCGTTAAGATTGGGAACAAAGCATGATCGACCAAGTTGGTTGCTCATGTATTTTCGCTACATTTTGTCCTCGAAATTGAAGGTTACGACGGCAGAGTGTAGTAGCGAATAACCAGCAATATGTAGAAGATATGGAACAGTGCGTGTACCGAGCAAAGTCCGGCGAGTGCCTAATTTACATCTATATACTAAGATGCAGAAAGCATTTGGAACGTCAATAACTGGGTCAGGTGGTTAGATATAAAACAGGTAAATATGGATTGCAAATGATTAGACGGATGTAGTAAAATGTTTGATGGAAATTCTGTTAAAAGTCAAAGTGTATACGGATCCGAGAAAATATTAAAGTATGGTTTCGCGGGACCAAATTGCTATATATATATTTTTTGACCCATAAAAGCAATCGCACACAACCACACGGAACACACAAATCTGACCCGTAACTAGCCCTTAGATCCTCCTTATCACATCTGCGACCATATCCACTCCACCAGATCCACTCAAAAACATTTGCTAACATGAAACATCAAAATCGCCTTCCTAGATACCATCCCCTCCGCCGATCAACGCAAACTTAACATATGCATTCATCCTCACACGATCCCCAAATCACTATCCCCCCCTCCCCAAATCATCGCTAACATCCCCTTCCCATCAGATACGCATCCCCTCAATCTACATGTCAACACAGCCATGAACATCCCGCACCTGACACCTCTCCTCACCTAATACCGCATCATCCTCCATAGATCATCTCAATAGAAGACCCTCCATCATCCCATCCTTATCCACAATCCAAATAATCCCCAATCAGCATCAACACTGTCTTCCCCGAATCCGTCGCCCGATCCACCTTTCTCACACCTCCCCATTACGTCCCTTCCGGGGGGGGGGGGGGGGGGGGGGGGGGGAGGGGGGGGGCATCTTACCGATTACACACCACCGCCACAACCACCCACTAACCCCATCACACCCCAACCCCAACTGTCTAACCCCCACATATAACCTTCCCGACCACATATCAGCGCTGTGACCACACACAACAATCACCATCAGGGGGGCAATACACTAGGGTCCATCCAAAAAAATACCCCACTAAACATCACACCCATAGCAAAATATTATACGAAAAAAGCACACTAAACCCAGAAGGCCAATCTTCAGGAAAACTCCCCAACGCCACACCTATAGGGAGTAAAACACCGCACCCTATCTCGTCCTCCTCTATCCATCCACTCCCACCTCCCCCATCGTCATCGCCATCATTCACCCCATCGACGATCCGCTAAATCAATGGGGGGGGGGGGGGATCTCTCCATCTCGTCTCCACTAATTCCCCACCTTACCTCATCCTGCCCTCTCACCCCAAACGATCTCTCATAGATCCGTCATCTCATCCCAAATTTTAATCCATCCTACGTCCCCAGCACCCCCTCCCCCTCCCCCCATCAACATCACATCTTCACCATCCAGCAACCCCCTCATCCCCTCCCCATCGCCTTCATACCCCTCAATCCTTATTCTCGCCCCCCCCTTCTATATCCATCCTTTCCTAACACTCTAATCACCACTAAACCCATCCAACCACCATCTCAAAATCGCGCAATCACACTCAATCCCCCGCTAGCAGCCATCCTTATCCCATCCTTCCATCTACCAAGGCTCACATCCCATCAACTCCTATCACTACTACCCCTCACACGAATCCAATCTTCATCATCAACTCATCCCCCCCAACTCCGTCCTCCATCCACATTCCTCTCCTTACTACAAAAATACATCCTCCTTCCACCAACCCACATCATCCTCATCCTAACCCAAACTCCGTCTAAACAACAACCAATCCTTACTTCCACACTTTCATCCCTCCCCATCCCTTCTCTTCACATCTCCAACATCTCATCCCCCGTTCACTACCCCAATCCCCCATCAACTCCGTCCCCTCGTCTCATCAATCCCATATCCCAACAGTGCGAATTCCACCCCATCCCGGTCGAGCCAGGGTCAATTTCCAGAGAGTCTTGACTGATCAGATTGAGGTTCAAATTAGGGTAAGCGCCACTAAAGAGAGTTGGCCCGTCCGATTGTAGGACGGATTGAATACACGACGTGCCGCTCAGGTCATTCTGAACGATGGGCCGGGAAAGCGCTCACCAGCAGTTGGAGAGCAGGATACCGATCAGTTGAGACGGGAATAGTCAGCGGAGTATGGAATGATTTTGGAGGGCAAATGGAGTGGGTCGAGAAGTGGACAGGTTAGGGTGGAGGTGCGTATATGAATAGAGGGTGAACAAGTCTAGCAGGCTGTCAATGTAAGTGCGACATAGTTTGAGTCTACAGAGTCTAGACCGTTTAAACGTTGCTGGTCTGGAAAAGGTAAAAGAAGCAGACCGGTCAGAGGAGACTAGGTTATTGCAGGGCACAGACAGATGGTCGTCCGATTGGAGAAAGATGGAGTGTACAGGATACTGATGGAAGTGCCTATATTAATAAAGTGTAAACAAGTCTATCGGGCTGTCAGTATATGCAAGACATAGTTATGCGTCTAGAGATTAGATCGGTATAACTTGCTAGTCTGGAAAAGTTCAAAGGAGCAGACCGGTCAGATGAGACTAGGTTATTACAGGGCACTGAGAGCTGGCAGCGCGATTAGAGAAGAAATGAAACTAGAGAGCGCCATCAGGAGAGAAGACGGTCCGGATAGAGAGAGGCATACTTATAAGGTGCGAAAAAGTCCATAGGGCTGGATAGGTAATGGGGACAGAGCGTTCGGTCTTCTCAACAAATGCCGGT